TTCAATTTTTTTAATTTAATTTTTTTAAATTTCTACATACATTAAATATAACATTAGCCTTGCAAAAGTTATGTATGGGAAATAATAACCAGATTACATAACATTTCTATGATTTTGTGTTCAAAAATTATCATTAATAAAGAAATAAATAAAAAATTAATTAATAAATTACAAAAACAAAAAAATAACTAAACTCAATTTCAACATTTTATACAATCAATTTACAAATATATTTTTTATCATGACGTAACTTCAAAAAATCGGTCACAGCTTATTTATGCGCATACCGTTAAAGTAACAATTAATAATTGCTTTTTTCGATGCTCTGCAAATTATGTAAGTTATCATTTCGGTAACGGTTAATTACATTAGTTGTCTGTTGAACCCTCTTTGGTAAAGGCGAAAAAGGARTTGCGAAAGCGTCGTCGACTTATACCGAACGATGACAAAATTAATTGGCAGTTAATAATATAAGACACAAAACAATAACAACAACAAGCAATGAAAGCAAAGGGGAAGTAAAAAGTTTAACAGTAAAAATAAGTCAATAACCTTTCTACTTGGATATTAAACCAATTGGCAATTTGTGCGCGTTTTCGTTGTGCGCATTATACAACTGTAGAACCAGCAAATACATCATATGTATATGTATATATTGTTAAGCTTTGTGCTACTACGAGCTTAATATTAATAGCTGTTGTAGCTGCTGGATTGGCTTGTCRTTCGGTGTGTCGTTGAGATTAGTGGTTTTTGTAGAGTTTGTTTGATTTGTTGTCGTTTGCTTTTTTGAGATTTTTTTCATTACAACTAACGTATTATTAGGTGAGAGTGCCTAACTTGTAAGCGTTGAGAAAAATATTTTTCATCATTCTGTATACAAAAATTGTATGTTGAGTGATTATATATAAATATGAAATATAATGCAATGAATGAAAAAATGTCTATCCTAACGTAAAAAAAATTTAGTAAATAGCAAAAAGATAAAATTGGTAATAAAGTACTATATAACACAAGATCATCGAAACTTAACTTAACATAGTATAAGCTTAGTTAACGTAGCACAACAYAATGTCATTAAAAGAAAACTAAATTTTTCTGAACGTAATTTAATTTTACTTGACAAAACTTAACGTAACATAACATAGCTTGACTTTGCATAACGCCACTTAATGTGGGAAAACATGACGTCATTAAAAGAAAACTTAATTTAAGTCAACATAATTTAACTTAACTTAACAAAACTTAACGTAACATAACATAACTTGACCTTGCATAACACTACTTAGCGTAGCATAATATAACGTTATTAAAATAAAACTGAATTTAGCATAACATAACTTAACGTAACATAATATAACATGACATAGGATTACTKAAAGTAGCATAACATGTCGTTATTACAACAAAACTGGAGTTAATCTAGCACAATTAAACAAAACTTAGCATAACTTAACGTAACATTATTTATMTTTACTTAACGCAAATTTACTTAGCTTTACGTTACATAGAAAAAACATAGCATAACCTATAAAACGCAATTAAGTAAACAATTTTTTCCCTTGATCAAACGCTTGTTAAGAAATTTAAAAAAATCTCCCACCAACATATGCGCTGGGTATAAATTTCACGCCATCTTTCATATTTTTGACTTTCGAAATTTATATTTTGGCATGTGTTTGCAACAAATCGATGACTACCTTGGCTATTTACTTATTTCACCTTTCCGTTGGTGTGTTTTGTTATTATTTTACCGCTAGGATGGCTATTTTTGTGCATTACGTTGATGCTATTATTGCTGTTGTTGCGGGTTGGCAATTCATTAGTTGGGATTTTCGCATTTCAGCGGTCAAGTTGCAAAATATTCATCATACTTTGCCGCTTTTGTGCGTTTCTGTGTATGAGTGCGTGTGCATGTCAGCTTTGTCAGTCGTTGACCGCTCCTGCTGTCGGCATTGCGCTTACGTCTTGTGAACCAACTGACAGCGATCGAGTGTTTGTCATTCATTTACTTTTTGTTGTTGTTTGTTTTTTTTGTTTTGTTGTTTTACTTTTCTAACACCAAATTGTTGTTGATGGTTAAACTTTTCAAGTCGCGCTTTCTTTTCTTTGTCATTTCGCCGCTTTTGTTAGTTTTTCGAGCATAAAGATAAATTTCTTGTTGTTGTTTTTGTTTCCACTCGCCAGTAACACATTTACCTATTTTCAAAACTTTCTGAATTTTTGCGCGAATGCTGTGAGCGGCGCTGGTTTGTGTCCGCCTGTGTCGTGGCTCATCAGAAATATGCAGATTGAGCAGATTTGCTTTTCATAATGAAATTAATTTTTTTATTTAATTTATTTCTATTTTTTGCATGCGTCAACTGCTCTTAATTACTTCATTCAGCGGTGGTTTATTGTTCGTGAAATTCACAAAATATTAAACTTTTCGAGCTTTCAAAGCTTTCACGTAAGATCATGCAAATCTTCGTTTAATGAACTTGCCGCGAACTTGCAGAGGAAAACGTGTCGAGAAATGCTTGCTGGCCACAATAGTTATCGATTTCTGTGAACTCWTTTAAAATTTATGACTTCAGCGAAATCGCTGCTAATATTATGTATTTATTTATATACAAATTCCTATTTACCAACATATATACATATATGTATCTCTAAACTTCTATTTACTTATTGTATCAAGCTTTACGTACGAACTACTCACTTTCTAGCACCGTTAGATGCTATTAATTTCAAGAGTTAATTTTATAGTTCATTTAACATTTCTGTAAGGTCAAGCCCTAGCTAAGTTGATTAATTTATTCTCTTTCCATTTCCATTTCATACTCAATGGCATCTTTATTGCTTTAGTTGTTCTTAGTTTTAGTTAGCTTCACTTTTGCCCGTCGACGGTAGAGTAAGCAGCCGTTTCCATTATTGATTCAAAAAAATTAAATTTTCTTTCGAAATTTTTACGCTGTGAGACTTTGAGAKTGCTTAGAAGTACTTCTGTGATTTGCTGTTGGGATTTCGCTTTCTTGGAAGTTGAAGTATGAACATCTAAACTACTTTTGGGTTTTATTGTATGACTTT